CTGTGCTGGCTGTCCCTGGGGCATTGGGGATCCCCATCCCTGTAGGGGCACTGGGACCCCCATCCCTGTGCTGTCCCTTTGGCACTGGGGACCCCCATCTCTGCGTTCCTGCGGGGCAGAGCTGGGGCTGGTCTCTGTGCTGCATCCTGGCTGTCACAGCTGTGCCCAGGAGCGTGCACAGCTCCTCTGTGTCTCCCCCCATGGCTGCCAGGCTCCAGGCTGTGACGTGCCTGTCACTGTGCTGGGGACAGCCCCACACTGGGGGTCAGGGACCCCGGGCCCGATGGATGTGGGACAGGTCCCCAGAGCTCCCCTCTTGTTGAGGGGAGGATTCTCTGGTGCACAGGTGCGTGGTGCTCCTATGGGTGTCCTGCCCTGAGCTGTTGGGTGTGGGGTCTCTGCAGCCTGCCCTGCCCTGCAGTGCTGCCTGGCTGCTGCAGTGCTGTCAGCCATGGAGAGATGCCCTGCACAGCTGCTCCCTGCAGTGCCCAGAGTCAGGTCTGGCCCCTGTGTGTCACTGTGTCACCTCAGCTTCAGTGCAGCCATGGTGGAGCAGGAGCCCATCATCTCTGCCTGAGGGTGTTTCAGGGGCTGCTTCCTCCAGCACAGAGGCAGGCCTGGCTCCTGGGGGTCCTGTGCCACCTGTTTGCTCCTCCCTGTGCTTCAGCTCCTGCTGTGCTGGGGCACTGCTCGGGGGAATGGTGGGACAGGGGCTGGGAGCCCTGGCCAGGGCCGTGAGGAGCTGCCATCCAGGCTCCAGGCAGGGAGCTCCCAGGACAGCCAAAGCCTGCCCTGACCCCCTTCTGCTCTCTTCTAGATGGGTCCCTCCACAAGCACCTTATCTGCAAGGTCAGTGTTCCTGCCATGGTGATCCCTGCCAGCTTCCCCCGCATGCAGGTGGCAGAGCCTGGGGAGCCGAGGCACCTGCCCAGCGTTGGAGGGGCACAGCAGTGCCGTGCCCACCCCAGGCCCTGGGCACGGCTGGCACCGTGCAGGGCTGTGACCCAGGGCTCTCCTTGGCCCCCAGGTGCAGTGCATCGCCACGCTGCAGGTGGGCTCCGTCCAGGCTGGTCACGCCCCTGAGTGTGGGCAGTGCTTCAGCCTCTCCTGGATGCCTTCCAAGCCCCACCATCACCTGGCAGCAGGCTTTTATGATGGTGAGTCTCTCTCTGTGCCCTGCAGCAGCACTCGGGGGGCAGCCCTTGCCCTGGCAGAGGCACTGCAGCCTCAGCTGGTGCTGGAACCTCTGCCCGGCCTGGCTCAGGGGGAGATTCCTCTGGGCTGGCTGTTGTCATTCTGACACACCTCAAGGCTGGTCACTGGTCATCCCTGTCTGTGGCTCTGGGCTTGTCCACATCTGTTGAACTTGCCTGCATGGAGTTTTCTGCTGGGCTTGCAGTGATCCACAGCTCTGTGCTGTGTTGTCAGGACCTGTTGCCATGATGTCTGCTTGGAGCCCCAGCTCCAGCCTGGCCCCTGTGTCCTGTGTCCTCCCTCTGCCCTGTCCCACTCTCAGCCCCAGCCCCAGCTCCAGCCTGGCCCCTGTGCTCTGCAGCTCCCCCAGCCCTGCCTGTGCTGCTGCTGGTCCCTTGCTGAAGCACCCGTGCCACTGGCAGTGCCTCATGGACACAGTCTCTCTCCACAGGCACCGTGGCAGTGTGGAACCTGCTCACCAAATCCCTGCTGCAGTGCGTGCACCAGCCCGACGCCTCCCTCAAGCTCTACCCTTTCCGCTGCTTCCTGGCCCATGACCAGGCAGTCCGGAGCATTGAGTGGTGCAAGGCTGACAGGTGAGGGCAGGAGCAGCCGCAGGTGCTGCCAGGAGAGCAGCTTCCTCCTGCAGGAGCAGCTCTTTTGTCAAGAGGGGCCTGAGAGGCCGTGGTGCCAATGGCAGCACCAGAGGGGTTTGGCTTTGCAGGGTGAGGGCAGCGGAGCTGCTGCAATGCTGGGGCCACCTGGGCCCTGTGCTGGGCCAGGGCACAGCTCCGTGCTGGGCTCTCAGCGCTGCCTTTGTGCTGCTGCTCCTCAGCAACTTCCTGGTGACGGTGGGCAGCGACCGCAAGATCAAGTTCTGGGACCTGCGGCGGCTCTACGAGCCCATCAACAGCATCAAGCGCTTCCTGAGCACCGAGGTGGCCTGGCTGCTGCCCTACAACGGCATCACCGTGGCCCAGGACAACTGCTACGCCCCGTGAGTGCTGCCAGGCCTGCTCCAGCTTCCCCCTCCCTGGGGCTGTGCAGCTGTGCCGGGGCAGGGGCAGGCTCTGCCTGTTTTGTGTCACACTGCAGCAGCAAAGCGTGGCATCCCCTCTGCCATGCCACCCTAGGCACCGGCAGGGTGGGCAGGGCATGGACTGGGCAACAGGTGTGTTGCTAAAGGGGTTTGGGAGCTCAGTGAGTCCTTGGCCTCTGGGAGCTGCCTGTGCTTGCTCTGGACTCTGTGCCATGCTGCTGGAGCAGGAACAGCCCCGTCACCCTGGGCCAGTTCTGTGGGAGGTGGCTGTGCCTGGCTCTCACACCCCTGGTGACAGCAGTCAGGCACCCAGGCCTCATTCTGTGCCTTCCCACAGGTACGGGCTCTGTGGGATCCACTACATCGACGCGGGGTACCTGGGCTTCAAGGCCTATTTTGTGGCCCCTCGCAAGGGCACCGTGTGGGTAAGGGCCAGGGCAGGGCCCCTCTGTCCCCGTGGCCAGGTCAGGCCCAGCTGGGCCCAGGGCTGGTGGTGGGAGCCCCGTGCCCTCCAGCCCTCTGTCCCTGCAGAGCATCTCTGGCTCGGACTGGCTGAACACGGTGGCTGCAGGTGACATCACCGGCGAGCTGGTGGCAGCCGTACTGCCTGACCTGGCTGTCAACCCCCTCAACGTCAAGCGCTCCTCGGACCGCAGATTTGTAAGAGACCATTCCTCTTGGGGGGCCCAGCCCAGCACACAGGGCCAGCGAGGACAGGGGACCACAGGAGACGTGTCCTGAACCCCCATCCCACCGGAGCCTGGGGGTGCCTGTGTGCAGAGCAGCAGCAGGATCTGTGCCCGCCCTGCCCTGAGCCGCCTCTCCCCACAGCCCGTGTACAAAGCTGACCTGCTGCCGTGCAGCCCTGAGGGGCCCCAGGGCAGCGAGCAGGGCCTGCCCCGGACCCATCGCTACAGTGAGATGGCAGCCAGGAGCTACCTGCGCTTCCAGGACACCGACCTGGTACGGGAGGCTGGGGCAGCCGGGCTCT